ACCCTCTCCTATGTCCACAGCTTTCCTCTTACGAGGTATCAAGTCTGTGTCATGCGGAGAAACCTCCTCTTCCTTGATAATGAACAAAATCGAGGAAGGAGCGGGTGCGGTAGTTGAGACGGGAGCAGAGACAGAAGGCATAGCAACCCTTCTCCTCCTAAACGAAGGCGTAGGCGCCCTGTTCCTTCTTGCAGCCCCCTAACAGAACCTAGAGAAAATACCAAAAATGACGATGAATGAGTAAGACAAAATAGGCAAGTACAAATATGATCTCGATCAGAAAAGCAAATTACATGTCGAGGGGAGGGTTGGTTTGAACTTCTGCCAGAAGCTCGGCCAATCATGGATCCTCGCAGTACATGGGAGAACTTTCCTAACCCAATCGGTGAGATGCGTCACCAACTGAAGAGGTCGATCAGTAGCTTCAAAACAAGATGGATTATTTCACAAAATTGAAATGATCAATTATTTGAAAAGATAGAAGCAAGAGTATGAGCACTTACGAGTGCGGTTCGAGGCCTCAGGGAAACCTGTGACATCGGCCACGACGGCCTCAGTTTTGACAAAAAAGAAGTCGAGTCAGAATTGTCAACTACCTTTGTCATCCATTTTACCACCAAACACTTGCCCCCACGATGTCGAAGGTTCAACATCGTGCCTCGATAAAAGCTGGGCGCGAACAGGTGCACCAAATGGTGCACCGTGACCTCGACACCAACCAGTTCAGAAAACTTTGATAGCATCTTGATCACGTTATAAACGTAGGGGCAAGATGAGCAGGGCAAACCGATAAAAATGACAAAATTCCTCCACTAGCGGAAGGAGAGGGAACAGATAGTCGATAGTGGGCGGGTAGGCATAGAGAGCACAGTATCCAGGACGGTGGGCGTGCACTTTGTCGTTATTAGCAGGAATTAGCTCCACGTCGTTGGGAAGGCCAGGCTTGACTTTGAACTCAGCCAAACGCTTGTCCGTCATAGAAGATTGGAAAATCTCAGTCATCACCTCCGGTGGCCGTTGAAAATCCGGTTTAGCATCAGGATTACGGGGGATAATCTCCTCCACTGAAGGGAGAGCCTCCTCTTCAACCATGGAGGTAGCGTCTCCCCCACGAGCAGAAATCACAACAGCCAGTGGGACATGATGAATCTCCTCGTTAACTTCAGTAGCTAAATTCGACATGGCTATGGAGTTTAAAGAAGATTAGAAGAAAAGGGGCTGAGAAGATAAGAAGAAAACTCGGGGATAATAAGCCAGAGAATGAGAGAAAGCAAAAATAATTTTAAGGGAAGTGAAATTTGAATAATGGTGAAACATTCCCTATTTATAGAGAAGGGGCACCGAATCCGAAACGGCTCATCATAATTGCAACCCAAAATCGAAACGGCAGAACCAATCAAAGGTCGCACGTGTATCGATGCGGCACATCGGGAACAAGCGTCATCATTACGAATGATGTCGTGACGTCATATCTTGTCCTTAACAAGATAACTCCATGAAATCACCGGGGAAGATTAAGATTTTGAAATATGTGATCCTCGAAATGCATTAGATAACGGGTCGTCGACTAGGTTGAATGTCATCACATTAGGTTATTCTCTTCCAACATAAGTTTTGTACTAATCTTAATTAGAACAAAAGACTGATTCAAGATTTACAAGCAGGGGGTGCATCTTTAGATAATAGATACAGATACTTGCCCTTTAAGATTTTTTCTTAAATTTGTTTTAGATATAAATAGTTCGAGTTTGAAACATACTTATATTTAGAATCTGCCTCTACTTAAATGACAAGTCGAAGCTTCAACAGCGATGTGAGCAGAATTCCAGGACTGAGAATTGCTTGGCAGCAAGGGGAGCTATAACTCGTCAATGGCTCAACATATATCTAGCTTAAAATCAAGACAAACTCTTATTTATTCGAAAGGGTTAAAGTATACTAAGCAATTACACGAAAATTAAGATGTCAAAGTTTCGTTACACACACAATTAAGAAGTCAAATATGATTAGTTTGTACAAACAATCGAATTAAAATGTCATCATTTTCCAATCAACTTTTTAATATCTAGCTAAAACTTTTAATTGCTTTTCTTTTTTCATCTCCAAGCGGACGATTTATTGGTCAAAAGGTTACGATTTAAATTCATGAAAAGGAAACACTAGCCATTTCTCAGTTGCTCATTCCTTACTTCCCTTGTTATGTGAATTTTCTTACTATTCAAGAAAGGCAGCCCGTTTGGACATAAGAAAATTTTTATTTTTTTTAAAAAAAAATTTACTTTTTTCGAAATCAGTGTTTAGCCATAAATTTTTAAATTTTCACTTGATTATGGATTTTGGAATTTTTCGAAAATTTGAGAAATTCCAAAAAACTGTATTTCAAAAATCACTCACAAAACGTCAAAAATAACCCAAAATTATATTCATATTCAAACGCAACTCTAGTTTTCAAATACCATTTTCACTTTTAAAAAAATTCACTTTTTTAGAAATTTTACAATTCCTATGTCCAAATTCTTATTTCTCACTAAGTGCCGGAACATCATGAAAGAACTGTGGCAGAATCTGCTTTTTAACGACAAGGGCATATGCTTAGGGATCAAATAGGGTAAAAATACCACGGGCTAGTCAGTTTTCGGACTGATCATTCAAAAACAGCCATTGTTTGCAAAGTCATTAAAAATAGCTATTATTTTACTGCAACACGAAAAGTTCCAGCATAATATACTGGATATCGGTGCACATGTGTATGAAATTCCCGCATATTATGCTGGAACTCCAACACGCGGAAAGTTCCAGCATAATATACTGGAGATTGGAGCACCTGTGTATGAACTTCCAGCATATTATGTTGGACCAGTATATTATACTGGAACTCCAGTATATTATACTGGAGTTCCAGTATATTATGCTAGAGTATTTTTCGAATTTTGAACAGTGTTTTTGTTCAAATTTATCTTTACATGAAAATTGATTAAATTTCGATTACTTTTGAAATTGTGACTATTTTTGAATAAGTTATAAATCTGACTAATATTGAATTTGTCCCTCAAATTGGGCATAAACCAACTTCTAGTTCTAAATCTTGTTAAACTATTTGGTGTAAGGCCCGGCCATTTAAGGCTATGTACTACAGTTTTTAGGAAGGTACTACTATTTATCCTAATAGTGCTTTCAAAATAATCTTGTGTTCGTTTTCTTACAGGTGACTTTGGGGCTATTACATCAGCGACACACTTATTTTTAGTTTAAGCTATTAATCTTAAACAAAAACTTTCCTTTTTACAAATAGCTGACTTTTATCTTCAGAAATAGTGCCTAACGCTATGGTAAAAGTTGTCTCAAAGGTTCGAATTTAAGCTTTTTTCCAAAATGTTGTCGCAAAACAAATCTTTACTTTGAAAATACAAAAGTACCTATTTTCTTGAACCTGATTTACTCCTAAACGAGGCATAACATATAGTACATGATTAAAGTAAGTCTAATAATATACTTGGATGAAACAATATTGTCTTTGTGAGTATGATTTACATTAATTCTACTTTGTAGCTGCAGGCGTGAAATATATATTTTATTAATATGTTGTGCTAAGGATTACAAAGATCAAACGTTAAAGATATTGGAAAAGAAGAAATTTAGGAGCAATTTGAAAATTTAAAAAGAAGTTGGGGGAAGAAAGAATATGCTCGTTAGCCTAGACAGTGACAACTCATTTATATTTTGCTAATTTATTTCTACTTGAGCAACCAAGCTCTATAAATATTAAAATAAAATCATATGCTCATAATTACCTACGTCCTGGTTGCTATATTAGAATATTAGAATTAACAAAACACACAAAACTTACTAGTTGTAAAATATTAACATTTATAATTTGGCAAAGATCTACTCGTGACAATCTTGGATTGTCAGTGAAGTAATAACCATGTGATGATTCATTTAGAAACTACATTAATATTTGTTTTCTTATTCTCTTTTCTATATTTGCTTAATCTTTAGTATTGATGTTATGTTTTGTGCACTAACGACATAAAGAATTTTTATATTATTAAATAATTTAACTTACAAGAATAATAATCTGTAAGGTGAATTCATGACTTCAAATCTAGAATTTTACCACATCTCTTCTCGATTTAGCGGGTTTGAAATCTATTATTTATATTTATTTAGTTAATTTTTCAACATATTTATAAAATTTAAGCCAAAATTACTAAATTTAAATGAACCATAGCTCGTTGACTACATTCGCCCTTGAATAACTTGCAACTAGGGGTGTACAAATCGAACCGAAAAACTGTACCAAATCGAAAAGTCAAATCAAACCGATTAAAAACCCGATTATGTTTGGTTTGGTATTGAGTAGAAAAATCTGAACCAAACCGACATATAAATATATAATTTTTATATATACTCTTAAGAATTTTCATAGAATTTTCTTTAAAAAATGTCTAGAAATATTTGTGATTCTCTTATGAGATGTAATATTTAGCTAAATATGAAGTGTCTAATTTATTAACTTTAAATAATGAGTTGTATGATCACTTTCTTATCAAGTGTTAGTAAAATGCGTCAATCTCTTTGTTCTTCCATATTCATAAGTCAAGATCTAAAATTCTTATATCTTTTCGAATTTAAAGTGGTATTTCGATAATTTAAAATTAAATAGAACATATCATTATATAGGTATTATATTATTATTTATGTTTAATTATTAAATTCAGTTAACCTTGAAAGTGTATATCAACGAAAAATTATTGTCAGACGACAAAAAAATTAACTATCATATGTTACTAAGAAAATTCTCCCATGAGAATATGTTAATAGATCATATGTTTGTCAATTTTTTTTATTTTTACTAAACTTATATTACTTATAAAAAATTTAACAAAGTAAGATTGAAATAATATTCATGTAACAAAAAAATCTAAAAAAATCGGACAAAACCGAACCAATCCAAACCGATATAGTTGGTTTGGTTTGGTTTTAATAAAAATACGTTTTTAAGAAGAAAAAAAATCCAAAAAAAAAAATCTCTCAACAAATGGGTCCATAAACTCTTACTAATTCTTACAGACTCACTCATGTTACTCTCTCTTCATTAAAAAAATAAAAAAGAGGAAAGAAGACGGCCTTTCTCTGTTTCTCCTGTCACCGAAAAAGCCTTTATTATTTCGACCGTTAAGTATTTTAAAGTCGAAAACTGGCCCCCCTTTCTTTTTCTTTTTTTATGGAAAGAAAGTTGAATACTTTACCCCTTTTGACTTTCACGTCCACATCAGAAAAAGGGTGTATTATCAATCAGACCGTTCTCAAGTGCCACAATAGCCGAGAGATCTCATTAGATCAACGGTCAGGATCTGTCGACCGTTACCACTGACAACACCTTTCAATCTCACAATTTCAAATTTAAGGATGTCTCCTTTCTTCTCTTTCTTCCAAAAACACAAACCCCTCTTTTTCTCTTTGCTCCTCAGATGGGTTTTTTCTTCTTGTCTTAATTCTCCATACAAGTTTTCTTGAAAATTTCTCATTTCTCATAGCTGAAAGAAACTCATCTTGAAAATCCAAGCAAAATGGGGGTTGTTGATTCTCCTTCTTCTTCATCTCCAGTGACAATTACAGTGACTTCATCTCCAACTGGAGGAGGATGCCATGGTTTAACTAGTCCGGTTCGACGCCATTCTTTGTCAACTAACCCCAATTCACCTCTTAGCGGAAAAAAATTCAGGGGGTCCTCTGGTGGAAGATATCTCTCTATGTCTAAAGAGAGCACTGATGAATTTGTAGCTTATACAGTTCATATTCCACCAACCCCAGATAATCGAACCGTCACAGATTCTCAAAACAGCCCTATTGGAAGTAGAAAAAGTTATAGAAATGAACATCCGAGTGAAGGGTATATTAAAGATACAATCTTTACTGGAGGGTTTAATTCTGTGACTAAAGCACATGTTAGGAAGAGTTCAGAGGATGAGCCTATGGTTATGAAGTGTAAAAACATGTGTCAAATGGAAGGCTGTGATGAGAAAAAAGCTGAAGCTAAGTGTGATTGTGGGTACATAATTTGCAGAGAGTGTTATTTGGATTGTGTGGGAATTGGTGGAGGATGTTGTCCTGGTTGTAAAGAGGCTTATAGAGGGATTAGCGATGATGATGAGAGTGATGAAGAGCCGAAATCGGAAGCTAAAGATCAGGCAAATCCATTGCCTTCAAAGGGAGGAAGAGGGAGAATGGAGAAGAATTTTTCACTAGTGCAGTCATTCAAGAATCAAAATCATGATTTTGATCATTCAAGATGGCTATTTGAGACTAAAGGGACTTATGGTTATGGGAATGCTTTGTGGCCTTCTGATGGCTATGAAGTTGGGAGAGGTGTTGATAGATCTTCAAATCCACCAGATTTTAGTAACAGAGGAAATAGACCTTTGACTAGGAAAGTTGGAATCTCAGCTGCAATTATCAGTCCATACAGGTAATCATTGAACTTGCATTTGTTTCCTGTATCCAATTTTTTTGCTGCTTGGTTCAATAGTTATGTGCTTATGTTCATAATTAGAAAGTGTTTTGAAATTCCTTAGCTGAGATACTGGAACAACTGAAAAACAAATCTTACACGCCCTTTTGTTGTGGACATAAAACTAATAAATAAACAAGTAGAAGTGTTATCTCTAATAGCTTAAATTTTGTTGAAATGGTCCACACAATTCAGAATAGTACCAAAGTAGGCAAATATCCTCATTTCAAGTCTAATTGCTTCTAGCTGGCCAGTAAAAAATATCATATCCACTCGTGAAGGGTCATGTTTAGACACTATATAAATAAGCCAGGTATTTAAATGTTGAAGGGTAGAGGGGCAGGCCCATTATTTTGGACGTTGCGGTTGGTCCTAAGGGCAGGGGCGGCCCTTCCCTAAAGCAGGTAAAGCAACTGCTTTAGGCCCCACATTTGTGGGGGGCATTTTTTGTTACACCTAATAGGCTATATATAAGTTTAACAAATATAGAGAAGAAGAATTTGCAACTGCTATGATTTCTGCCAAGGAAATTGCATTGTGATATATAGGAAGAAATAATTGGATGAGAATATTGATAATGAAATCTCAGAGTTGCTTTAGGCCCCACATTTGTGGGGGGCATTTTTTGTTACACCTAATAGGCTATATATAAGTTAAAAAAATTATGTGAGTGAAAAAGTTTGATTTCTTTGTTTAACAAATATAGAGAAGAAGAATTTGTAACTGCTATGATTTCTGCCAAGGAAATTGCATTGTGATATATAGGAAGAAATAATTTGATGAGAATATTGATAATGAAATATCAGAGTTGATTACTTTTTATAGACAGTAGACTAGCTATTTTTCACTTCAAAATAGATTTGAACAATTCGAAGCATATGAATATATTTTTGATTTTTCTATTTAGCGGTAAAAAACCTAGATAGAAAATTTGAAAAAACATTACCTTAATCTTGAATTTTCAATCAAGATTTAATTGAATAAAAAGATTTGATTCTTTTCCAAACGCTTGTTAATAACTCATGTTACCGTTATTTCATCGAAAAGAAGTTTTTCAAAATTAAAATTGATAAAATTTTACCAAAGATCAACAATGTCCCAAGAGATGTTAAATGGATCAGATATATTATCAATTGAGAAAGACTTATTAGGAGAAATTGATTATAAGAAAATTATTAATAACTTTGCATCTAAAAAAATAGAAAAATAGAATTCAAATAAAAAATAATTCTTTTTTTAAAGAAGTTAAGGCCCTCGTAAAGTTTGGCTTTACCCCAGCTAAGGGTTGGCCCTAGACGGATGTCTCGCTCATAAAAAAATATGAACAAAATTTTCCTCTTTAAATATCTTAATATTTTAGAAGCATGTTTTTGAAAAAGTAAGTAGTAGAAGAAAGTTATCTGCTAATTGACTATCTAGTTCTGTCAAATAATAAGGTATATGAATCAGTATCAGAATTTGAATTTGATGTATGAATGTGAATATCTGTAGGTTGCTTATGGTTCTTCGTCTTGGTGCATTGGCTTGTTTCTTAACATGGAGGATTTCTCATCCAAATCATGATGCAATGTGGTTGTGGATACTGTCAGTCGTGTGTGAGGTTTGGTTTGCAATATCTTGGCTTCTTGATCAGTTGCCAAAGCTCTGTCCTGTTAAAAGAATCACTGACCTTTCTGTATTGAAAGAAAGATTTGAAAGTTCAGGACCAAACCTTCGGAATCCAAAGGGATTGTCTGATTTGCCAGGCATTGATGTGTTTGTTTCAACTGCTGATGCAGAAAAAGAACCACCCCTTGTAACTGCAAACACAATCCTTTCCATTCTTGCTGTTGATTATCCTGTTGAAAAGGTGGCATGTTACTTATCGGACGATGGAGGTTCTTTAGTCACATTTGAAGCTCTTGCAGAAGCTGCTAGCTTTGCAAGAATATGGGTTCCCTTCTGCAAAAAACACAACATAGAACCTAGAAATCCTGAGGCATACTTTGGGCAAAAGCGCGATCCATTGAAAAACAAAGTCAAACTTGATTTTGTCAGGGATAGGAGAAGGGTGAAGAGGGAATATGATGAATTCAAGGTGAGGATAAATGCCTTGCCAGAGTCAATAAGGCGACGATCAGATGCTTATAACACCCAACAGGAGATACGGGCTAAGAGAAAACAAGCTGAACTTGGAGAGGATCTCTCTGAACCGATCAAGGTCCCTAAAGCTACTTGGATGTCTGATGGGACCCATTGGCACGGTACTTGGTCATCAGCAGAAGAAGGCCATTCTAGAGGTGATCACGAGGGTATTATACAGGTAATGTACTTCATCATTCGAGTTCCTTGTTTAATAATATGGAATCTTTTCAACTCTTTTGTTGAACGTTCCTGAACTTTGTTTGTTGCAGATCATGTTGGTTCCTCCAAATGCAGAGCCACTTTACGGGAATGAAGTAGATGAAAAGAACATGATTGACACAACAGATGTTGATGTAAGAATGCCAATGCTGGTTTATGTTTCCAGAGAAAAGAGACCTGGTTTTGATCACAACAAGAAAGCTGGAGCCATGAATTCTTTAGTTCGAGCCAGTGCAATTATGTCAAATGGTGCATTCATTCTCAATCTTGATTGTGATCATTACATCTATAACTCATTGGCTTTAAGAGAGGGAATGTGCTTTATGCTTGACAAAGGTGGTGATAGGATCTGTTATGTTCAGTTCCCTCAGAGGTTTGAGTGTGTTGATCCAAATGATCGATATGCAAACCACAATACAGTTTTCTTTGATGTTAGCATGAGAGCATTGGATGGTTTGCAAGGTCCAATGTATGTAGGAACAGGCTGCGTTTTCCGAAGAATTGCTCTTTATGGGTTTAGTCCACCAAGGGCAACTGAACACCATGGATGGTTTGGTAGCAGAAAGACTAGAAAGCTTCTGAGGAAACCTAATGTTCAAAAGGATCAAGAGGATGATGAGATGTTTTTGCCAATGATTGGGAGTAAAGATGATGAGGAGGAAGTAAGCAGATCCTTGCTTACAAAACAGTTTGGAAACTCTACTCCGCTTGTTGACTCTATTGCTGTAGCTGAATTTGGAGGAAGGCTGCTACATGAGTTGCGAGGCAAAGGTTGTCAGGGAAGGCCAGCTGGTTCTCTTGCTGTACAGCGCGAGCCATTGGATGCTTCAGCACTTGCTGAGGCAGTAGGTGTCATAAGTTGCTATTATGAGGACAAAACCGAGTGGGGGAAAAGAGTCGGATGGATATATGGTTCGATCACAGAAGACGTCGTGACAGGTTACAGGATGCACAATAGGGGTTGGAGATCAATTTATTGTGTCACAAAAAGAGATGCATTTAGAGGTACAGCACCAATCAATTTAACAGATAGGCTCATCCAAGTTCTCCGATGGGCAACAGGTTCGGTTGAAATCTTCTTTTCTCGCAACAATGCTCTATTTGCAAGTCCAAGAATGAAGTTTCTGCAGAGGGTGGCATATTTCAATGTGGGAATGTATCCCTTCACTTCAGTTTTCCTCCTTGTCTATTGTGTCTTGCCTGCACTTTCACTCTTCTCAGGAAAATTCATTGTGCAGTCCCTCAACATCACCTTTTTGGTGTTCCTGCTCGCGATCACAATCACCCTTTGCATGCTTGCTATTCTTGAAATCAAATGGTCAGGAATTACCCTTGAAGATTGGTGGAGGAATGAACAGTTTTGGTTGATTGGTGGAACAAGTGCACATCCTGCTGCTGTGATACAAGGACTATTGAAAGTTATAGCAGGAGTTGATATCTCATTCACATTAACATCAAAATCTTCTGCACCAGATGATGGTGAAGATGAATTTGCTGAGCTTTACGAGTTTCGTTGGACGGTCCTAATGATTCCACCAATCACAATCATATTGCTTAACATGATTGCAATTGCAGTGGGAACATTCAGGACTGTATACAGTCCTTTCCCACAATGGAGCAAGCTTCTTGGAGGTGTATTCTTCAGTTTTTGGGTGTTATCTCATCTCTATCCTTTTGCAAAAGGTTTGATGGGGAGAAGGGGAAAAGTTCCTACCATTGTCTTCTTATGGTCTGCTCTCATCTGTATTGTGGTCTCGTTGCTCGCTGTTTATGTATACCCTCCTTCAGGACATCAAGATTTCACAAGTTTTCAGTTCCCTTGAGTTTGTACATGGGTTGTTGTTGTTGTGTTGTCCACCTCGGCAGCTCAGTTAAGCTCACATTCTTGAGAGTATGAAGTTTCTCAACTTCATCTCACTGTCTAATGTTCTTTTTTCTCTTTTAAGATCTATGTTACATATGAAAGTTTATTCTTTTTAAGATGTCTTTTAAATGTTACACATGAAAGTTTATTCTTTATAAGATGTCTATTGTTTTCTTTTGCTTAATATTGGTCTGAGATGAATTTTAATTGATAAACATGTTATATCATTGAGGACTTGAGGCATAGTGTTGTTGTTGTTGTTAAGATTTCTGAGATGTCAAATACAGCCCATGTTCATAATTCTTGATGTGGGCATAATGCATTCATAATAAGCTTGTCACTACTTCAACCACACTTCTAAAATAGGTATTGTAAACCATTGAAAAAAGGAAATGAATGCAGTAAAAACTACAGAACACAACCCACATGTATTACCTACCAAGGTTCTTTCTCCACTTAGGCTGAGTGTTCTGGAACAATCTTATGGTTTTATCTTTGCATTATCTGCGACTAATCTACTTCAAAAAGGTAGAAGAATTACCATCGCTTAATCATTAGTAGTATAATTAGTGAAGATAATGCTGTCAAACTCAGATTATTTATTATTATATACGATTATTTTACTTATTCAACTGGCACTGTCAGTTGCCAGTCTTTTAATCCAGCTTTGAAACTTTAATAATTGAAAAGAAACTGTCAAAATAATGGGGTAAATTTAGACAAGGACAGTTGAGCTACATCGATCCATCAAATTACTTGAAAGTACCCCCAGAGAGTAAAATAATAGAGAGAAGCAAGAATCCACACTTACACCGAAAAGGAAGTTGGAAGAATTCATATTCATAAAATTTAAAAATCAGAGCTGAGCAAAATCTTAAATGCTCATTGTTGTAGCCTATACTTTTTCTGTTTCATTATATATAACAGTGTTAAAAGAATATTTTTTTAATATTTGAAAACTTTTAATTAAAATCCTTAATGATATGTAAAAATAGAAATAACGTCACATTTAAAATTACAAGCTTAAAGAATATCTTGTTATAAAATAAAGACTGTAAAGTAAAGACAAGTATAGAGAGAAACTGATATATTATTCTCACTTCAAACTTATGTACATAATAAACTGAATTCTCCTCTATTTATAGAAGAGAGGAAGCTGCTGTGTAAGCTGCTACTGCAAGCTGCTGTGTAAGCTGCTTGTAAGCTGCTGCTCTAAACTGTTGTGCCAGATATAGATAATCTTCTATCATGGATAATATTTATCCATAACGGAGTACCAAAAGGATAAGTTTCTTCAGGAGGCTTATTTCCAATAGAGTACTAAATAGATAAATGTATTTATGGCGGAGTCTCATATGGATAAACTTCTTCAGGAAGCTTATTTACAACAGAGTACTAAATGAACATCCATAATATAATATATTCATAACACTCCCCCTTAGATGTTCATTAAAAGATAATGTGCCTCGTTAAAACCTTACTAGAAAAAACCCCGTGGGAAAAAATCCTAGTGAAGGAAAAAGAGTACACATATTTAGTAATACGCATTGCTAGCTGCCTCATTAAAAACCTTATAAGGAAAACCCTGTGGGAAAAAACCTTAATGAGGAAAAAAGAGTACATCGCGTATTTTACTCCCCCTGATGAAAACCTTGTTTCAAATATTTAAGTCTCCGCATTCCAATCTTGTATACCATCTTCTCAAAGGTTGAAGTTGGTAAAGATTTGGTGAATAAATCTGCCGGATTGTCACTTGAACGGATTTGTTGCACATTAATGTCACCATTTTTCTGAAGATCGTGTGTGTAGAATAATTTTGGTGAAATGTGCTTCGTTCTATCTCCTTTTATAAATTCTCCCTTCAATTGGGCTATGCATGTATCATTGTCTTCGTATAAAATTGTAGGTCTTTTCTCACATTCCAAATCACATTTTTCTCGAATAAAATGAATTATCGATCTCAACCATACGCATTCCCTACTTGCTTCATGAATGGCTATTATTTCAGCATGATTTGAAGAAGTAGCAACAATAGATTGTTTTGTGGAGCGTCATGATATGATAGTTCCTCCACATGTAAATACGTACCCGGTCTGAGATCTAGCTTTATGGGAATCAGATAAATAACCTACATCTGCATAGCCAACAAGATCTGCACTATCTTTGTTAGCATAAAACAAACTCATATCAAGAGTTCCCTTTAAATATCGCAATATATGCTTAATCCCGTTCCAATGTCTCCGTGTAGGAGAAGAGCTATATCTTGCTAGTAAATTAACAGAAAATGCTATGTCAGGCCTTGTAGCATTAGCAAGATACATAAGTGCACCAATTGCACTGAGATAGGGTGTTTCAGGACCCAGGAGTTCCTCATCCTCTTCTGGAGGTCGGAAAGGGTCCTTATTCACTTCAAGTGATCGAACAACCATTGGTGTACTCAAGGGGTGTGCTTTGTCCATGTAAAAGCGTTTTAAGACCCTTTCTGTATAGGCAGATTGATGCATAAAGATT